ATTAAAATCATTTATTATGTATCATCATATATACAATTATACTAATGAATAAAATGAATACAATCAGACTTATTCATCACAGTATTCATTATTGTTGTTATAATTGAATATCATGTTATATTATAAATCATTTATCATTATAACAAATTGATTAATCAAATCATACACTTAATAATTCTATTGATAATTATCATTTCTTCTTTATCATTTCTATTTGAATTATCTAATTATAAAGAATATAATCATAATATTGTAAATTAATATTATTCATCTCTCTTTTTCATATAATCAATTTATTATCATAATAATACAAATAATACAATGAATTTCAACATTATTACAATCAATTATACACAAAATCAATAATAAATAATGAGTTCGAGACAATTATAATGAACATTATTATCAATATCATGAAATTTGAATAAATAAATATCAATTTTGATAATAAAATGAATAAGAGAATAAAACAAATGATAAACAGAATAAAATAGATGAATGTTATTATATTATGATAACATTCTATGATATCTTTTAAAAATATTAAAATTAATTAAATTATTTAATATTGATATTATTTGAGAAACAAATAAATAATCAATTTCAATCAATTTGAATTAAATTAATTTATTATTCATAATTAATATTTGGACATTTTTCAAATGCTCCTTTTTCAATTATTATTGTATTTGGTTTAATGTTAATTTCTTTTAATTTTATACTTTCTTTAAAACTTTCTGTGTTTATTTTAGTTATACTTTGTGGAAGTTCAATTCTTTGTATTTGTCCACAATATTTCATAAATCCTTTTGGAATTTCTTTAATTCCTTCATGTATTTCAATCTTTGTTAAATTTGTACAATAACCAAAACAATCATTTCCAATATCTCTTACATTTGAAGGAATAGTAATTTCTTTAATTTGACTTCCTTCAAAACATCCATTTCCTATTCGTTTGACTTCTGTTGGTATTTCATATCCTTACTTTTCCCTATCTTCATTTGTATATTCAATTTCTTCAACTGAATTATTTTCTTCTTTTAATATCATCCAAACCCAATATGGAATGTTTTGATAAATATGTATTTTCCCTGAACTTCTGATATTTATTAAACTTTTACAATTCCAAAAACTACATTTCCCAACATATCCAATGTCTTTATTCATTCGTATTTCTTTTAATCTTGTACAATTTGAAAAACAATTATCTCCAATATATGTAACATATTCAATATTAATTTTTATTAATGATTTACAATTATTAAAACATTTAAATGGAAGTTTATAGAGATGTGGTGATAATTCTATTTTTGTTAAACTTGTATATCCATTAAAACATTCATCAACACATTGTTTAATATGTTCTTCAATTCTTATTTCTCTAATTTCTCTATCATAATATCTGCCTATCCAATTACATTCATTTTCTATCTTTTCTCCATATTCTTCTTTATCTTCTTCTTCATATTTAATATCACAACAATAATAATACAAATACATAAAATAAATGATAAATAACAAATAATGATGATATAAAAAATATCAATGATATATAAATAATAATAAAAATAATATTATCATTTATGATTATCATTGAAATTATTTAATTTGTGAAATGTGAATATTAATATATTTAAAATATAATGAAAT